TGTCCCTTCATTTTTTGAAATATGATTGATATCCTTTGCAAAACAAATGTTAACACCTATTTGTACACAAATTTCTTTGATTGTATGTTAGGGAAACTCAGGTATGACAGTCTCTCCTAGCAGGCACTTTACTGTGAGCAAAGGACATGGCTATTTGTGAATATTAATTCATCCTACTGAAAATGGGTTTGGCTCTCTGCTGGAAATCCACCTGGGTGTAGTTCGGCCTTTCCTAATACATTTATCCTATATTGCTTAGTAGCCGTAACTGTATCTCCATGGGTCTCAGCAGCCCACCATGTTCACTGGGGTAAGGTGTATCCTTAGCAGGAACTTTTGCTGTCATTGAGTTACCTTTTGCTAACAGCATTAACAAAGAACAAGTAAGAAGAATCATATCCGCACATTTCACAGCAAAAAATATATATTTCAAATATACCGCAGGTGTGCACTATAACTATCAGCCTAACAGCAGCATTGCCATGTTTAAAACAATCAAGAAAAAAATCTGCATATAAAGCATGAACATATAAATGTAGGTAGGATCCCAGCGGTGCACACATACCAGCCCACATGTGAGTGCATGCATACATTGAAGTACTAAATGAAGACATGCTCTTCCCACACATATTTACTACTGAGCATAAATACTAAAGGAGCAAATTCTCGTCCCTCTTCAAATGAGAATCCATCCGTCCACTAACCCAAGAGGTTTTCTTCTTTTTCTAATGTCAGTGTAAACAGCGGATCAATGGGGTCTAATGAGTCAAACTTTGCTTTCAGATAATTGCCAAGAATAACCATTGATTCACAGAGAATTGAAAGGTCCCATCTGAAGGCAGAATTTGGTCACAACAAATCATCCCTTCAAAGGCTGGAAGACATGCAGTGATGTAACCGGCATGATTTTCCGTTTTGTCTTTTCTGAAGAAGCAGCAAAGACTTTTGCATGCTATGGGAATGCCTGAAGATAGCAAGCTTTATAGTTTTCCAAAAAAATGAGCATTTATTACCAATCAGTGTGAAATACCACTGATGGTAAATTTTAAGTATATGGCAGGAGTTTCAGCATCATGACAACATACATCATGCATTTTTACAACATATAAGTGCAGTGATATTGCTCCCTTTCTCAATAACAATATATAAGAATATATAGTATAAATGTACAGTATATATTAGACACAATGTAAAATAACTTAGTGAAATGTCAAAGCTTCTGCATAAAAAGTCAAGTCATGCCTGAGCATACCTCTAGCACAATTTTGCTTAATCTTATCTCATATACCTTCATTTACCTTTAGTTCATGTTGCAAAGATAATTTTATCTCTCTGTATATAATAGCTTAAAACCACCGGAATCCTTGTCCTTTTTTCTTCTATCTGCAGTAGGTGAAGACTGTAGTAGCCAAGCCAATCAGTGTCATCCCGCCAAGGGAAGCACCTCTTTTGGGGTTAGGAAATCCATGGCTTATTCTGGGTCTCTCTTTACAGTCAGGAAGACCCCTCGAGATGAGGAATTGAGCCAAACACCAATACCTTTCCTCACTTTGGCTGCTGTGAACCAGCCCAGTGATGGCCTCGGTGGGGTGCAGACCCCTGCCCTGCCCTGCTCAGCCTGGGCTTCAGCTCAGATTTTAACCCATGTGCCAAACCACCTATGTCTGGAGATATTCACCTGTTTCAACACAGGGCAAAGAGGGAAGTTCCTGTGAGGTTTTCTTTTTTCTTTGGTCCCCTGCCCTGCCCTGCTCAGCCTGGGCTTCAGCTCAGATTTTAACCCATGTGCCAAACCACCTATGTCTGGAGATATTCACCTGTTTCAACACAGGGCAAAGAGGGAAGTTCCTGTGAGGTTTTCTTTTTTCTTTGGTTATGGCTTATGTAAGTGGCTGACAGGCTGTGATAGAGCTGAAGAAATAGCTCTAGACTCAGAGTGCAAGGATAAAAAGAAAAAAACCTAGACTTTTCCCCCCCTTCCCTGAGAAAAGGTAATTTACGTAAATTTATCCACGACCAGCATACGGCAATAGCTCACAACTTTGTTAATGGAAACCTGGTGATCCATAACACTTGTGTGGGAGACATTTGCTTGGGGGTAATACAATATTAATGTTAATATCAATGATCGATCAGAGGATTTGCAAGAAAGGCATAAAGTATTTAATTATAATTACATTGGGAATGGCTTTGTAATGGCTACGACATTTGAATAAGGTCACGTCTAGCCCTCACCCCTGTTATGTTGTTCTATATTAAATGCCATTCACTTTAAGTGCTGGAAACCTTTCTGGAGTCGTCAGAATATAATATACTGGGTAAATTGAAATATGTCCCTTCATTTTTTGAAATATGATTGATATCCTTTGCAAAACAAATGTTAACACCTATTTGTACACAAATTTCTTTGATTGTATGTTAGGGAAACTCAGGTATGACAGTCTCTCCTAGCAGGCACTTTACTGTGAGCAAAGGACATGGCTATTTGTGAATATTAATTCATCCTACTGAAAATGGGTTTGGCTCTCTGCTGGAAATCCACCTGGGTGTAGTTCGGCCTTTCCTAATACATTTATCCTATATTGCTTAGTAGCCGTAACTGTATCTCCATGGGTCTCAGCAGCCCACCATGTTCACTGGGGTAAGGTGTATCCTTAGCAGGAACTTTTGCTGTCATTGAGTTACCTTTTGCTAACAGCATTAACAAAGAACAAGTAAGAAGAATCATATCCGCACATTTCACAGCAAAAAATATATATTTCAAATATACCGCAGGTGTGCACTATAACTATCAGCCTAACAGCAGCATTGCCATGTTTAAAACAATCAAGAAAAAAATCTGCATATAAAGCATGAACATATAAATGTAGGTAGGATCCCAGCGGTGCACACATACCAGCCCACATGTGAGTGCATGCATACATTGAAGTACTAAATGAAGACATGCTCTTCCCACACATATTTACTACTGAGCATAAATACTAAAGGAGCAAATTCTCGTCCCTCTTCAAATGAGAATCCATCCGTCCACTGACCCAAGAGGTTTTCTTCTTTTTCTAATGTCAGTGTAAACAGCGGATCAATGGGGTCTAATGAGTCAAACTTTGCTTTCAGATAATTGCCAAGAATAACCATTGATTCACAGAGAATTGAAAGGTCCCATCTGAAGGCAGAATTTGGTCACAACAAATCATCCCTTCAAAGGCTGGAAGACATGCAGTGATGTAACCGGCATGATTTTCCGTTTTGTCTTTTCTGAAGAAGCAGCAAAGACTTTTGCATGCTATGGGAATGCCTGAAGATAGCAAGCTTTATAGTTTTCCAAAAAAATGAGCATTTATTACCAATCAGTGTGAAATACCACTGATGGTAAATTTTAAGTATATGGCAGGAGTTTCAGCATCATGACAACATACATCATGCATTTTTACAACATATAAGTGCAGTGATATTGCTCCCTTTCTCAATAACAATATATAAGAATATATAGTATAAATGTACAGTATATATTAGACACAATGTAAAATAACTTAGTGAAATGTCAAAGCTTCTGCATAAAAAGTCAAGTCATGCCTGAGCATACCTCTAGCACAATTTTGCTTAATCTTATCTCATATACCTTCATTTACCTTTAGTTCATGTTGCAAAGATAATTTTATCTCTCTGTATATAATAGCTTAAAACCACCGGAATCCTTGTCCTTTTTTCTTCTATCTGCAGTAGGTGAAGACTGTAGTAGCCAAGCCAAAACCAAGATTTTGTGGAGTCTTTACTGATGTTGCCGTTAGGTACTGGGAAGCAATTCATCATGAATAAGTTGTATAAAAGCAAGTTCTTAAATGCTCGTTACAGCTCATCACTGTCCATCGGGTTCTGTTCTAAAATACCCCACTGCATGTAAATGGTAATGGAACGGCTTTCTTCAGAAGTGGAGCTCATGAGCTAACATTGCTATCTGTAAATTATAAATCCCACCAGCTTTGCTGAAATCCTATCAAGTACCACTTTGGTAATTGCTTGCAAGAAGGATCAATAAATATCTATTTAATAGGAATATACAAGTTGTCTCAAAGCAAGTAGGTGGAATTCTGGCTTTGGTCAACACTGGATACAGCTTCTTGCAAAGCTGTGCCTCCCTTCATGCTTGCTAAATGAAATATGTCCAAGGACTTCCCTGCGGCATCTCAGGAAGCTTTCTGATAGTACAAGGGGAGAGGGTAGGGGTTTTTTTAAACCCAGGCATTAAGAGGCCCTATGACTCTGCCACGCTACCCTTCAAAGTCTACCAGAGTTCAACAGCCTTGCAATTAGCTGTCTTGGAATTATTTTGAATACAGCTTCACTTCAAGAGTTTAAACAACTCTGCCCTGAATATCAATAAAAATATACTTTTAACACTCAGTAATAACTACATTTTATAATTAATGATTAATTAAGCTGCACAACCATTTGAAACATGACGTCAAAATAAAAAATAAGGGAAGACAGAGAGATTTTTTGTGATTCCGTTTAAGAAAACCAAGCCCCCCCCTCTTTCCCCACCTTCTCAGCCAGTGTGAGTTGACAGAATTACACTGGTTTAGATCAACTTAAGTTCTGACCTACATACTTCAGTGGAATTAATCCTAATTTCCACCAGTGAAAGTGGGCTCAATTTCACTTCGTCTTTAATAAAGCAATGGGTGATAAGCAAGTCTCTTTTCTCTCAGATTCTGCTTGAGAAAGGAAATTCTTTGTGGTGTTAAATGATGTCCATGGCAGTTTAAAAAAAAAAGCCAGAATGTCATGAATTTCAGCATAGTGAAAACCAGTATCGGTAACTGTTATTTATGCTTTAACCTCAGCAAAGTTCTTTGGGTACAGACAGTATCAGCTGGTGAATCGGTAACCCTTCTGGGTACTGCTCGGGAAGAAAGCAAGGAGGCAGGCAGCTGATTTTCAGTGACATGAGGCTGCTGAATGCACTGCAACTCAGACTTTGTTACCATGAATAAATAACATCACATTGTCCAGAACTGGAGATTAATTTGCTGGGCCTCCAGTAGATGATATTTATTTTCTTGCATATTATACTGAGATCTCAGGACAGGCAAAGGGTCGGGGGCTGACAGAATGTAATCGATACTGAATTTAATTTCAGAATCCGATTTTGCTAAGGAGGAATTGCTTAGGCTCTGCCTGTTGGTCATGCTGTTTGGAGCAAACCCACGGGGCTCCAGTAGTCTTGGTCCTGATTCAATTCTTTCATGTTTACTTTCAGAAGAGGAAATGTTGTTTAAAGCAGAGTCCATAGAAGACATGTCGGGGGATGAAGGACTTTTTCCTCTGCTTGGTCTCTGTTCCTTATGTTCCCTCTTCACGTTCCTCCTCCTCCGTCTTCTCCTGTAATTCCCATTTTCAAAGAGGTCCAGCATGGATTCGCATCCTGTTGCAAAGCTCCAATAGTTTCCTTTCCCCTTCTCATTCCCTTCTGTTCTGGGAACCTGTATTTATTTAAAGGCAGTTCAGTATTTGTATGTGTTACAGATGCTGCTGCTGAACATCTGCATTCATTTACATTCAAGAATGGTGTAAACACATATGACAAGACTTTTAAGCCTATTCTCTTTCATTATACGGATAGGATGTAAACTGCATCCTCTTCAATTTGTTATCTATTAGCATGCATCAGACAAGGACATACTCTTTATCTCTATAATTGACAACTCAGAGAGATTTTAAGTGATTCGCAGCTCTGCTGTTTGTTTCCCTTCTTTCCCAGTGATGAGATTATTCCTGCATATGTTTATTTTAGCCATGCACAGTGTGTATGTAAATATACAGTTACTGATCTTACCTTTACAAAACAACTGTTAAGCGATAAGTTATGTCGGATGGAGTTCTGCCAGGCTCTTTGATTTGATCTGTAGTAAGGAAATTTCTTCATTATAAAGTCATAAATGCCAGAGAGGGTGACTTTATTTGAAGGGCTTTGCTGGATGGCCATTGCAATTAAGGCAATGTAGCTGAAAAAAGGAAAACTTGCCGTTACACCATCACCTCACTCACATATTCAGATTTTAGGACCTCATAGGTACATGTGTGCCAATATCCCGCTTCCAAAAGTTCTCCCGGTGGATCTGCACCCTGACTCGAGACGTCCTAGGGATAAGCCCCCAGCATGGTCCTGCCTCTCTGCCCCGAGCCCCCGGGGTGATGCACGGGCGTTACTTCCAGGCAATTGAGTCCCGGTCGGGCTGTTTGCCTTGGCACTCAGTGAAGAGTGCTTAGGTACAGGAGGATTACAGAAAGATCACCCACCTCTCAAACCCCGTCAGAAAAGTTTCCCTGAGCTAGAAGGCTGCAGTGAGACAGAGCAGGCTCAGAGACACTGAGACACTGAGACACTGTCACTGGAGACCTTGCCTGCTTGTGGGAAGGACCTTGGCTGCCCCTGCAAACCCCTACACCGCACACCTTCCCACCACACCGGGGATTATCTGCACCCAGTTCATCCACTGGCATGTGGCACATTTAATTCCCCTTCTCCCAGGGCTCCTGGAGGTCAGAGGAGACCACCTGAGGTCTGGTGGCTCAAGGCATGCCAGAGTTACTGTGACCCCATACAAGAAGAAACAAATTGTGAACACTTCAAACACGGAAAGGGGGGTAAATCTGCCTGCTGCGGTGCCTGTGCTGGGGCCAGACCCACTGCGCACGCCTGGGGAGAGGTCCCACGCTCCCCCAGGAGATGAGATCCCACCATCCCAGAGCTCAGAAACCTCCCCAGAGATGGGGGGACTTGGAAAAACTTCATCTTACCTGTACGCTGGTCTGGTGAATTTTTTCTCTTCGTCAGAACTACAGGTAGGATAATCATCCCCATCATAATTAAAGCAGTTATAGGGGTACTGCGTGTTGTCAAACATCGTCCTGCTCCTTGCTCAGCTCCTGTGGAGTGAGAGAGATGGAGTGATGTTTCTCAGAGCTTGGGCTCCCTCCTCCCTTCTTCCCTCCCCTCTGTCTGCCTCGTTCCCTCTCTCCCCCCTCCTCACGCTCCCTCTCCTCTGTGCACACATACTCTCCGTGATGGGGTGGGGATTGTTTTTGCAATTCTCGCGTCCCAGACAGCCTGTCTGTTAGGATATTATTTTTCTGGGGGGCTTGTTATTGTTGTTATTGCTCTTGCCTCCAATGGGGTGGTGGAGCCAGGCGGCTGGTGACTGATGGAGCTGGTGAATTGGGGGTGAACCTTTGAACCGGGGTGTGCACTGCCGGTAGCTCCGCTCAGCTCGCTGGGTGGTCCGGGCTGGAGAGGGGCCAGCGCTCCCCCCGCCACATCCACAACGTGACAAAAGCAAACAGCATGGTGTTAATAAATCATGCTTCAAGGTCTCTACTTGGAAATTAAACTTTGAGAACAGAGTGCAGCTCCCCCCCCAGCCCCCAAGTCCTCCCCCTTTGTATTTTTCTTGCCCCAGCGAAGCAGGGTGGCTTTCTTATTTATTTATTTTTAGAAGCCCAATGTACAATAAACAGACGTTCCAGGCAGTAATGCACGCTTGTCCTGATCTGCAATCTATAATACAGTATAATAGACATACATTATATTTCCATGACTAAAGGAAAATGTGTATGTTCAAAGAAAGTAGAACAGAGGGATATGAGGGACTACTGTCAAACAGGAAAGTAAAAGGAAAATAGCTGTAGGCAGGAGAGCTGCCTGTGTGGGCTTTGATCTGAAGGATGAATTAGACTAATAGCCCTGTGTGTTGGCATCCAATACTGTAACAATTTAATAGTTTTTCAATGCTTTGGAGTGTTTTCCAACAAGTGATGTAAACCAAAGGCATCGCGCACCATTTCAGGGGGGACTAAAAAGGTGTGTGCCACATGACAATTAAATTATTTGAAGACAGCTCTGTCCCAGGAACTAGCCCCAGGAGGAAATGGGGTTTGGAAAAGAGAAAGCAAATTGGTGTGCGGAGAGTTACCTGCATGGAAATATAAAAGCAGAAGCACTAGCAATGCAACTTCTGTTTTCTATAGCATCTTTCATACAAAGTATGTCCCCAAACCCCTTTTGGAGTTAAAGGATACAATTAAGGGAAAATTCGTCTGAGTGATAAAGGGCCCTTTAAAGCGATGCTAAAGTGGCTCCTGGAGTTTTGACAAAGATGGACATAAGAAAGCTTTTTCTGTGGAATATAAAAATAGATTATAGCAGGGAGTAGGGCATGAAAAAGTGGCATGAAAAAAAGAGATACAAGAGGCGTTTTCTTGGGAATATGAAGCCAGAGCAGATACCCCAAATAAAAAATTATCTCCACTCTAAAATACATCAATAAGCATATGCATGAGGCATCCACTGCGGAGGAGGTCTTAATACAAAGGGTCAGCTACTGCTGCCTAAGGCGTTAGCAGGGCTTTAATATTGAGTAAGATAGAGCAGATTCAGTGGTGGAGAATGAAACATATAACGTCTGATCTTCATTCATACTCTGCAGCTGGACTGAGAAGGTTTAAAGTAAAGAAGCAGCTGGGCCCCAGACTTGGGAAGATTTTCCCTCACTAAAAAGAGCGATGCTTGAGACACAAGTAAATGTCCACTTTGGTTTTTAGCAGCGGTTCTTCTCTTTGGAAGTGTTTTACCTCACTGAAATTCCAGTAATTCACAGTCTTGCTCCTGATTTATAACAATTTTTAAAAAGCAGAACTGGCAGAGTTGATTTTACACAACCTGTTAGTGCCTTTTTTTCAGTTCTTCATACTCTATTTCTGAGAATTGCCTTGCTAAGAAAGTCAGACAATACACTTTGACCAAAATCCTCACATATTTACTGACAGTATGTACTACGTGAAGTTTCCTGTGATGGGAATTAGAGTGAATGATTGTAGTGTCATACATGTGGTAATGTTATTTACCTCAAATCCTGTATTTTCTTGCCGTGGTGAGTCCAATCAGCTCGCCCATGTCTAGCACATCTGTAATGTGCGTTATAGCTGGTGAGTAGCTCTACTCTCTATGCAAGAGCTCATGGCCACTGCATTTCTTATCCATTTCAGTGGAAAATAGCACTTAGATTAAATTTCCATCTCAGAGGCTGTTTGTGAGTCTAAATTCAGCAAATGGAGGTGGGACATAACAACTGGCACTGGTGCCCTTGAGCAGCATCTCAGGAGTGAGTGGGACCATGGCTGGTGCAGGGGCAGCTTGGCAAGATACATAGGAAACTCCTGCCATTGCCATTCGTGTAACACCTAATCTGTGGATAAATATTATTATTTCCTGATAGCCAGCAGTGGGCTGGAGGATTGAGTTTCTGGCTCTGTAAATATCACTAAATTCATCTGCTGCAAATTCATGTAGACCATATGAAGAATGCAGACCATTTCTCAGTCCTACAAGATCAGAAACAAATTATATATTGTCTCTCATAAACCTGCTTCTGAAATCCAGATATGCAAAACGGGCTGACTATTTCTCAAGGTATTTTTTAAAGCCTGCATACTGATATTTTATCCCCAAGTGAATGTTTATGGTCCAATTATAATCCTTGAAAATAATATTCATAAAGAAATGCTAACATGCTCTTATACGTACCGTGGTGAAGTTAGCAGGTGCCATGCTTATGGTGGCAAAACATGTTGTACAATAGCTTTTTCCTAGCATCTGTGCAGCCGTTATAGTTTAACTAGAGTAACTATAACTCATCACTGTCATTATCATAAAAGCATAATTTTGCCAGGCTAGTGTTTTCTTATGTTGTATATTTTCAGAACACAAAGTTGTAAACCACTTGATTTGAGATTGTAAATAGGCAATAAAAATGCTGTGAAAGATTTGCCCATTTTTTTAACATTGATATTAAAAAGTTATTTGCAATTTTTGTAATTATGACACAGATTATGAAAATTGTACGTGAAATTCAGACCGGTCATAAATCCAAACAGAGCTGAATTACTAATCGTTATAGCTCCTCAGAACAACCGTGAGTAGGACTGCATGTTGACATCCCAGTCATCTTATTGGTGTAGACTGGTGTTTACCAGCAGCACAGCTTCTCCTGCTCTCTCACTGACTTGGGAGCCAGAGCTGGTTGCAGTTTAGGACTTTATACGCAAACTTTTAAATTTATCATAGAATTATTTGGGTTGGAGGGGATCTTTTAAAGATCATCTAGTCCAACCTCCCCCACCACAGGCAGGGACATCTTTCACTAGATAAGGCTGGTCAAAGCCCCATCCAAGCCGACCTTGAACACTTCCAGTGATTGGACATCCACAACTTCTGGGCAACCTGTTCCAGTGCCTCACCATCCTCACTATAAAGAATTTCTTCCTTACATTCAATATAAGTCTACCCCTTTTCAGTTTAAATCAGTGGAAACGAGTGGTGGCCTTCAGCAGGCTTTGAATCACTCAAAGGTAGTCTATACCACCAGTAAAGTGTTTTCTTTTTAGTGCAAGATCTGTAGCTCTGGCAAACAAAGAAGAGGGTGGGGAAATGAAGGTGGTGGTACTTTCCTGGTTGCTCTGATGTGGGATAAGGAGAAGGAGAGTTCCCCAGGCTTGGCTGGGTATTTAGCTGTGATGGCACCTGATACCCCACTTAAGGGATCTTCTGACATTCAACTCAGTGACCCTCATTTCTAGGAAAGTGATGACTCTTGGTACACTGTCCACCTGCATTTCATCCTAAGTTGCTCTCTGCTTCCATCGGTTGAACTGCTTTCCCTTCTGCTTTTCTTTTGTGTTCATATGTAGGACTTCATGGAAATACAATTTGCACCACAATTTGTGGTTTTCTGCTGGAGCTCAGTGAGAATTGTTTATATTTCCCAGCTAAGGGATTATTTGGAAAGGCATTCCTCATCTGCATGCCTTCTAGCTGCAGCAGTGTAAACCTCATGCATAAAACACAGCATGGGTTTCTACTGAAACAGGAACATGGATAAGAAACCTTCACTAACAATTCATCACATTAGAGGTGGTAAATAAGGGAGCAACTACATAAACTAGCTCAGTCGTATTATCCCTGCCCTAGCTAGATATGGAGATTCACAAGGCTTATGTAAAAATCCATTTCTGGAGATGCTCAGTGTGTTTTGTAGTGAAAAATAGGGAAAAAAAAGGTTTTCGGGGCAAACCCCATTTCTTCTTCTGCTTCTGGGTTGTGAATATTGGTCAGAATTTTTTTTTCCAAGAAATTCCTGCCAGCCAAGCTCAGGGCTTTCCACAGTCTGGTGAAGCCCTGTGACCATGTTGCTATCAAGATAGATTGTATTTCCCTTTGGGCCAGGGAGGAGTTTAGATGGTACTTTCTTATCCGCTTGGTGTGCAGACCTGGTACCCCACTCCATCACTCTCCAATACAACGACACATCCCAGTTTCTTTATTTGATATGGATACATAAGGCAGAGGTTCAGAGTTTTCCTGCTTGTGATTTGGCATTCTTCTCCTTCTCCGTGGCACAAAATCTAATCCTCCTCTTTGACATCACAGATAGATGGGATAAAACACAGTAGGGATGTGCAAGGTTGCACAGGAGACTGGCCTTTATGTTCATGGGTTTGTTCCTCCCACAGCTATGAAAGCCCCTGGAATCGCTGATGCGTGAGGCTTTTGGAGACAAGTAGGAAGAGCTGGAGGGTTTGAAGAGGGGATAAATTGAGAGGTGATGTCTATTCTTTGCCATTACAGTGCACCTCTTGGACCAGCACAACAATCATGCCTTGACTCAGTCTACACTTGTTTACCAAAAACGGATATTATCTTGGCGCAGCTGCCATACCTCATCCATCTTTGGTCATTTCTCATTCCAGCTATGTACAAAATCATTTGGCTATAGGCCTCACTTCATACATTGTTTGAATTCTGCACCAGACACAGCTAATAGCTTGGGCCAGGAAACTTGTTCCAGATGTT